ACTGTGGTCAGTCCTTTCCCTTTTGTTTAGGAAGTACTTTTGTGAAGTCACTCTTGTTCCAATGCCCTCTCTTCAGTGAACTTATTTTCTCCCTCTCTTAAGGCAAAGCAGAGAGCAGAGGTACTTCAGTCCACCCAGAGGTTCTTTTCTGAGCAGCAGCAGCAGCAGAACAAACCCATAGGAGGCAAAGCCCAGAAAGTGGAGGAGAACGGGAGCAAAGCCCCCGAGGCAATCGCTGACTCCTCGGGAGTCTGCCAGGACAAAACGGAGGAGAAGCCCACGCCTGCACCCGCTGCCACACCGAAACCTGTCAGAACTGGACCAATCAAACCTCAGGCAATCAAAACCGAGGAAACTAAATCTTAGAGGCTGTGTTCCCGTGGAGGGGGGAGAGGGGAGGGTGGGCGAGGTGTCAGCAGCATGAGTTTGTGGCCTGAAGGCCGAGGCAGCAGCCTGCTCTCCCTGGGGGCTCCGAGCAGCCTGAAGGGGCACGGGAGCCATCAGCAGTTCCAGGTGCAAAGTACTGGGTGTCCAGCTGAGCTCCTGGGCTCTGGGGGTTCGTGTCTCCTCTCTCAGCATGAAGGCTGCTCTGTGTGCACGTTCCACACGTGTGCGTGGTTTGGCTTACACACCTTCTGCTTCCCACAGTGAGAACGCGGAGAAGTGGCAACGGCAGGGAAGAAGGTGGTGGGGAGGCATGTTCCTGGCTGACACGATGACTTCTCTTATTTTCTTCAGGCTCTGATCTTCAGCTGCTATTTATCTTTTTATAAACCCATGAGTAGGAGAACATGCAGTTCTGAAGATGGTGCTGGGCCAAGTAATGTGTGTTAAGTTTTTAGCGACTTAAGAAGCTTCTATCTTGTAACAAACAGAGGGATCCATGGCCGGCGAGGTCAAACCTCCCGCAACACAGCGATGCTGGTGGTGTTGGATTTCCCTCTGGAGGCAGTGCTTTGCTGGCTGCTGCTGCTTGGATGACAATATTCTGCATTTAGATCACCATATGAAAATGCTACTTGGCCACCTGTGTCCTCTCCACCCGCTGCCCCCTCAGTGGCTCTCACCCCTGGAGTTGAAAGGTTCGTTGCATCGATAGTCAGGTTTGTTCCGTTCACCCCTGTCCAGGTGTCTTTCTATGATGCGAGTGGTCTCTAAACGGTTCCAGTTTCTGTCTGTGATCCAGCAACGAGCACTTAAACTGTGCCACGAGAGTTACGGAAACCTTACTGATTAACGAGAGTTTATCTCAAAGGTGCATTTTCATATCAGAGCTGAGTCGCACCACCTCCTTGCCCACAGTGTGCTGGAAAGTAGAATCAAGTCAAATAAATGCCTTTTTAATTGTATCCTCTAGTATTCTAGCTGTAGGACAGTACTGTATGATACTTCTGTGAATGTAAGATATCCTGTACCTGCTTATGATATGTAGTAGTGACTGTGCTATACTGGAGCTGTTTTTAATAATGTTATTCTAGAGGTTTTTTTTCCAGACAATGATTGAAAAAGCTAATAAAAAGCACCAGGTACCACATCAGTAGCAGAATTTGCTGGTTTTTTTCTGGGATTTTTTTTCCTTTTTTTTCCTTTTTTTTTTTTTTTCTACATTTTTTGGAAGGAAGAGTTGAAAGTCTAATGTGTATAATTTTGTTCAAATGACTGCAGAAGCTGGAAAGGCTGTTGCTGCTATTGATGCCTAGTGAATCGCTATTGGTTATCTTTTTATATAAATATATATATAATTTGAATTTTTGGAAACTCTAGCTGTGATGTCAACTTTGGAAAAAAGTATCCCACTTGTAGTGTGAGTTGGCATTGTACAGAAATTAACAGCCATATTGGTCTAGAAATGTTAAACTTAATTTTTTTTCCATTTGTACAGGGGTAACGCACTGTATGAAATATGTACGGTCTTATTTACATGGGTTTGATTACAGAAACTAATAAAGTATTCTCTAAATAAAGCCCCGGGTGCTCTGTGATTGGTGCAGCGCTGCAGGATGTGACGGGAGCCCAGGCACGGACACGGGTGTGCCGAGGGGAAGCGGGAGGAAAGCACTGCAGCAGCTCCTTGCTGTGCCCCCAGCACTGCCACGCTCCCTCTGCAGGGAAGGTCTCCCAGGATGTGGCTTCCAGCTCTCCATGGAAGGAGCCTGAGGGGTGTGGTTGCCACATATTCCATCTCCAGCGTTTCCTGGCGCTGGTTGTTCCCTGGGGAGGAGCAGAGGAGAGCGGGATGTCCCCGGCTGGTGAGTGACAGCACCCCGGGATAAAGGCGAGAGGTTTCCTGTCAGAGGGAGACGTGGCCTGAGCCTGCCCAGCTCCCCAGGCCCAGCCCTGGGGTGTGGGGTGTGGGGTGTGGGAGGCAGGACACGGGCAGCTGCCACTGGGGGGAACTTGCTTCCCAACATACTCATGTTTGGTGTCCAAGAAGTAATTCCTGCCCTGGGAGAAGGTGCTGGCTGGCTCTGCACTCTGAGGAAAGGGAAAGCCAGGCAAGGGGTGTTGGGGGGAGTGGGGCAGTTGGTCAGGGGTGTGTTGTTGCCTCACCCCGCAGCATGTTGGGAAGCAGCAGCCCTGCCCAGGTTGGTTCTGTTTGGGGGTAGAACTGCAGCAATTGCAGTAAATAAAAGGTTCTGTATTCCACAGACGAGGAATGGGCAGGGAGAACCTCCAAGCAGGTAACACTGCAGGGAAATGACCTTTTTCACAAGGATCCCCAAGAGCACAACTGCGGTGAACCCTCAGGGAAAGGAGGGAGGGGGTGGGGAACTGGGTGAATGGAGACACTCATTTATCTATAAATGTGCTGTAAAGTTAATTGAGCTGTGCTGATGTTTCCTTGGTTTGAGGTTGTCATCTGCCTGTTTTACCCCAAAAAGGGGAACTCATTCACCAGAGTATTCTATTTTTAAGGAAATGCTGTTGAAAGGATGAATGGTAAATTCTGTGGTAATAAAGGAAGTCAGTTCTGTGGTAACTAGGAAGTCAGACAAATCTCCCACACTTCAGGAGTGTACCAGGCTTTGGGCTGTTTCTTGCAAAAGAGCTGAACAAGGGTAATGTTTCTGCAGAAACTTAATGAAAAGCAAATTCTTGGGCATTTTATGCCTCCAAATAACCCAGTTTTGATGTGTGTCTCTCCCCAAAACCCCAAACCACCCTGGCTGCCTCTGAGGCCAGGTGGAGCTTTCAGTCACTGACCCCAGTTCATCAAATATTTTTATGACATTTAATCAGATAACTTGCCCCGGCTATTTACGCTGGAGTAGCTCTTGCTTTTTTAATCTGAGTGGGATTTGGTGTTTAATCTCTTTTCTAGGACTCTGATCATCAGAAAGAATTGTGCTGAACCTCACAGAAATGAGGGAGCTATTTTGCTTGGGTAATTAATTTTTTTTTTCCCCTTTATAATGTTCAGGCTGTGAAAAGACTGTAACTTTTCTCAAGGGCAGGAGCAGAAGGGGGTTAAGTGTGACTGGGCCCAGATCCACCACCCTCCCTGGGCTCAGGCTGGCTTCTTGCTGGGATGCAGGAGGGGGGAGGGCTTGTTTTCCCAAAGCCTGTTAAGTAAAGCTGTGTATTCAGCACTGTCCAGCTCCAGCCCAGCTCTCTGGAAATCCTGTGTACACTGGCTTGCCGTCATTTATTTTTTTAGTCAATTAAGGGATGGACTTCCCAGCCTGAAAAGGCCCCGGGGTGGGGCAGGGCTGTCTGCCCTCAATGTCTGGGCTCACCGAGGTGCTGCTGCTCCCCGGGGCTCTGCACAGACCCTGCCTTTCATCCTGGGGCGCAGCTCACACCCCCAGGGAGCTGCGGGGGGAAGGGGGGTGCAGCCTCGCCTCCCACCCTGTTCTGGGACAGAAATGCCTTTCTCTCATCCCCCCTGCCTGGTTTTCCTGCTCTGGGTGGGCAGGTCCTGGCTGGGGCAGGTCAGTACCCTGCGGGCAGGTCTGGCTGCTGCTGCCTCGCTCTGCCCGGGGCTAGAGAGCCTAGCAGGCCCTGCCTGCTCCTGGGTCATCCCTGGCTTTACTGCCCCCCGATCTTGCCCTGCCCACCCTCTGGCTCACCACACCCCTTATGCACAGAGCCAGTCTCACTTCTTACAACCCTCACATATTCCAAAATAAAGCGTGGGGATGACACAGAAGCCAAGTTCTTCATTATGTTCTATATGTAAATACAGTGCTACACTTAGGACAGCAGTGTGTTAGGAGGACAGCAGTGGGGTGAAGCATAGACAATCCCTGTAGGTGACCATCTCAAGTGTCCCACTGTATTCTCTCTCCTTTCTCACTCGTTCCAACACGTGGTGTGTTTCTGTCAGAAGCTGCCTCTTAAATGTGGCCTTTTCCTACCCCAGGCTTCATGGTTTCCCCCTAGATGAGGCTTGGAAAGACAAGGTGCAAGGCAGCAGTGGTGCTGGGCAGCGTGGATTGGGCCAGGACCCTACACAGCCCCTGGGGGTTGTGGGTGCTGCTGCCCCAAATGCCAGGGGGAGGGAAAGAAAAAGCCTCTTAGGAAATTTCCACAATAAATTGATAAAGCAGCGTTTTTTGGACTGCTGTGGGCAGAGCTGCTGGCCCAGCACGGCCCGCAAAGCCAAAGCACGTGGCTTGGAGGGGCTGGATGCACCAAGAGGCCCCCTGGCTGCAGGATGCTCTGCCAGCACTCCCCACCCCTGCTCTCTTGGCTGCTTTCTTTTCCCCGATAAAACAAGGCTTGTGCAATGAGTGTCCATATTACCTGCTGCTTTTGATACTGCTGGATGATAATTTGGAGGTGGCTGAGCTGCAGGATGCCCCTGGGCACTGCTGGTGTGGGACGCAGTGGGTTTGTGGGCTCTCCACACGGGAGCTCTGCAGGGCTGGAGCCTGGAGACAGGATTCCCGACCTTGCAAGAGGGGATCGCTGCTCCCAGCCACGAAAAGGGGGTATTTTTAGGCTGACCCTCCTGGACAGCTCCCCCCACATACCTGCCCTGCCCAGCCCTCACCCTGCCTGAGTAGCTCCGGGCTGGGTGCTGCGGTGACCCAACCGAAACCCACCGAGGCTGGGGAGAGGTTTCTCTGGCTCCGCCAGGCTCTGGAGCAGCACTTCATCTCTCCCTGCTGCCCTCGAGTGCACGGGGGTGTCGCTGCAGGTGCCAGCAGAGACCCGGGCGGCCCCTCCCTCACCCGGGGCTGTCCAAGGCCGGTGCTCCCGGCCGTGCCGGGGGAGCTGCGGAGCAAAGCAGGATGCCAAGGCACACACGGGGGTCCCGGGGGCTGAGGCGGCGCGTTCCCAGCCCCAGCTCACGCCTGGGAGAGGCGCACGGGGTAGGTGACCATGTTGAAGCTGTCCCAGGCGAAGAGCTGCCGCTCGGAGGGGTTGTAGTCCAGCATGCTGAGGTAGCGGAAGCGGTTCTCGAAGGGGATGCTGAGGGCCCGGCTGGCGCCCGTGGCCGTGTCGTAGGCGAAGTTGATGGTGGCGTTGGGAGCCGAGTAGCTACTGACGGTGTAGAGGGTGCCGCAGATGAGGAAGGAGTTGGCCACTCCCCGCTTGCGGATGTTGGTCTCCCAGGTCCGGCGGATCTCCAGCGTCTGCGGGTCCAGCTTGGAGAGGACGATGGCCCCCCGGGCACTCTCGGTGCTGTAGATCACCCAGAGCCCCGTCTCGTCCACTGCCAGGTCGATGTCGGTGTAGCCGCCCCAGGAGTAGGGGTACTGCCCGTGGTAGCCGGCACCGGGGATCTCCCTCTCGGCCGTCACGGTCTCTCCCCGCAGGTCGTAGCGGGCCACGGAGCGCGAGTGGCGGGGCTGGAAGAAGAGCCCGCCGCGGTAGATGACGGCCCCCGTGCTCTCCAGGGGCCGCGGCAGGATGTGCACCTTGGCGGGGTAGCCCCGGGCCAGCTGCTCGGCCTCCTCGTACTGGAAGAGCTGCCGCACCTCGGTGCCCACCGCGTCCACGCGCCACGTGGTGTCCCGCGTGAAGGGGGGCACGGGCTCGGGGTCCTTCATCCACACGCCGTACTTCCCAGCGATGGAGTCCGCCCGGCCGAACACCACGGGCTCTCCCACCCACACGAGCTCTCCGCAGCCTGCTCGGGACAGGAGGGCAGAGAGGGGGGATCACCGCGGGCCCCTCGGCGGGGCCGGGCGGTGCCCGGAGCTGCGGGGCGGGGGGGTACCTGAGTCCGCGCCCCCCGGGCGGCCGAGCGCCGTCTCCTCCAGCAGCCGGGACACGGGAACCTCCGTCCGCTCCGACTGCAGCTCCTGGAAGGTGAGGGGCTGCGGCTCCCAGCGGGGCGCTGCAGTGGGACCAGCGCAGTGTGAGCAGGGCTGGGCCAGCCCCCCTCACTGCCGTGACTGCCCCCGCCGCACCGGGGGCTCCGTGCCCGACCGCTGCCTCCCGGAATGCCCGTGTCTCCTCGGTCGGGAGCCTGAGGCCCCCTCCCACTGCAGCAGGGCACATCTGTTGTCCCCCCCCCTCCCCTCCAAGAGTGTGGTTTAATTTTCCTGAACTAAATCAATCTCCCTGGACTAGTGCCCTGTGACCCCGCTCTGCTCCAGGGCAGGTGAAGGGACGAGGAAGGCTCTGGCTGACAGCGCTGCTTTTGGGGGTGTGGTGCGATGGGCTGCGACCCTCCGGTAGGGCTGAGCCCACGGGGTCTCTAAGAGTGGGGAGCAGTAGTGGGTGCCCCACACGGGGGGGCTGCAGAGGGACTTGCCCAGCGCCCGTGGGGAGCCCTGGTGCAGAGCCGGTGGCAGGGCCGCCCGGAGGTCCCGGCCCCGGCACTTACCCTTGCCGGGGGGGCGCAGGGTGTCGCGGCCGGGCCCGTCTCTGCCGGGGGGGCAGCGGCCGGCCCGCAGCCGGGTGATCTCCTGGGCGCTGCTCTCCAGCCGCCTGCCCAGCTCTTCCTTCTCCCGCTCCAGCTGCCCCTTCTCCTCCTCCAGCCGGGCCTTGGCCCGCAGCAGCTCCCCGTAGGCAGCCTCCAGCCGCACGGCCGCCGACACTTGCTGGGGCTCCCGCGCCCCGCCGGGCCCCGCGCCCCCCCCTGCCCGCTCCCGGCTCTCCAGCCGGCTCAGGCGGGCAGCGAGCGCGGCCAGCTCCGCCCGCAGCTCGGGCACGCCGCCGGCAGCCTCGGGGCAGGCGGCCTCGACGGGGCTGGCCACCGTGAAGGAGTAGGTGCAGTGCCCGGCGCTGTCAGGGGCGCGGCGCAGGAACGCGGTGTCGGCGCGGCCGCGCAGGGCCAGGGACCCCCAGAGCAGCACCCACAGCCCCAGCATGGCCCCACGCTCTGTGCTCGCCGGGCACCGCCGCCTGTATTTATAGGGGAGAGGGTCCGGGCGGCGGGGGGCGGGCGAGCAGGAGCCTTCCAGATGCCTGCGGTGGCACCGGCACTGCCCCCGCCGCCTCCCCGGGGCCGCTGGCCGCGCTCGGCGGCCGCGGGGCCGTGTGCCAGGGGTGACGGCGGGGGCGAGGCGGGAGGAGCTGCCCCCGCCGCGGGCGGGGAGGATCCGCCGGGCGCTGATGCGGAGCCCCCGGGGGCCGCGCGGGGATGGGGATGGGAATGGGGATGGGAATAGGAACGGGAATGGGGCCGAGGGAGCCTGTCCCGGTCCCGCCCCCTCACGGCAGGGCCCCGCCCCGGAGCTCGCTCCGCCCCCGACAGGCCCCGCCCTTTCCCCGCCTCCGCCCCGCCCATTCATCGGTAGCTCGGCGCTCGGCGCAGCGGGCGGAGCGCCGAGGCGGTCGATGTGACGGCGGCCCCTCCGCCGCACCGGCCATTTCCCGCCGGCCCGGCCCGAGCGCGGTCACCGCTCTTGCCCTGTCTTCTCCTGCCCTGTCCTCTCCTCTCCTGCCCTACCCTACCCTGCCCTGCCCTGCCTTGGCCTGTCCCCTCCCGTCCCTCCCCCTCCACCCGTCCGGGCCCGCCGGTGCGGGTGACCCGGCCGCTCCCCGCCGCCCCCCCTAAGCATCCCCACCGCGGCCATGCCGCCCAAATTCAAGCGGCACCTGAACGACGACGAGGTGACGGGCTCGGTGAAGAGCGAGCGGGTGAGTGCCGCCCCTGCGGGGTCCCGGGGGGTGGCCGGGTCGGTGCCCCGGTGCGGGTCCCTGGCCGGGGGTCCCTGTGCCGCCGCACCCTGCGGGGCCCGGAGCGCTGGGACAGCGGCGTTCGGTCAGCGAGGGGCTGTGCGAGCATCACGGTGACCGTGGGGTAAAATCAGCCACCTTAGGGGGGAAGGGCTGCCCTGGGAACCTGTTGTCGTTCCTGTGCTCCGTGGCCGTGAGACCCCGCTGTGCTGCGGCCTCCCGCCCTTGTGCAGAGCTTGGCAGGGCCATGTCCCGGCTCTCTTGCCTCGCAGCCGGCCGGGGAACTCGTGTGAAGCCGCCCTGGGTTTACAGCTGAGTTCTTCCCCTGTCGCCAAGGTCCTCTGACGGTCCAGGCTGTGGGTACGGGTCACAAAGGTGCAGTTGCCTGGGTTAGACAAAGCAGGTTTAACCTGGCGTGTTTGTCCTGGGGTCACACTGTGCTAAAACTCAGTTTAGACCGTGGTCTTAAGCGCTGCTGCAGCTCCCACCAGCTGTCGGTGAGATGAGGATCCCGCGTTCCAGGAGCGCTTTGCTCATCGTTGCGGGAAGCAGCGGCTGGAACTATTGCAGGGTCTCAGGGGTTGCTTAGGTTGATTGACGAAATGTGACAAGGGTGGAAATATAGGGGGGCTTTGAAATAAGAGCATCAGGCTTGCAGGTGGGGGCCTGAGTTTGTGCACAGGGGAAGCAGCAGCTGTTGGTACCTCAAGGACCACAGCTGTGTCCCTGGGCCCCTGCCTTGAGTGTGGCATTTCCCTCTATTGACTATTTTTGACCCTGAACTGATGTTTCAAGGAGCCCTAAGCTCCATTTGGGAAACCTGTGCTGCCCTGATAGGAGAAACAAACTGTAGTAAATGTCTTTGTCCAAAACTTTCAGGCTTCAGTGGGACTGTGGGATTGCTCTTAAAAATCAGCCTTTGGACCATCTAGTGGGATCAGCAAATCTGAGCGGAGCAGAGGAGCCGTCAGACCACTCTGCTTCCCTGCCCAGGGAGCCCAGAGTGTTTCCTTGTGCTTATCCTTACACCTGCTCCTATCAGGTGGCTGGAGAGACCATGTCCTCCAAAGCTGGTGTGGATCTGACTTCCCACATGGATGGGATGGCACAGGGTGGCTGTGAGCAACACTGATGTTTTTTGGGTGCAGGGCTGGGGACTGTCCCTTGAGCAGAGAGGGCCTTCCTGCAGGCAAAGGATGCCGATTCCATCCTAAGAGCTGGAAATGTGTGTGAAATGGTGGTTACTGATTGTTTTTACTGTGTTTGCAGAGGAACCTGCTGGAGGAAGACTCAGATGAAGAGGAAGACTTTTTCTTGTGAGTTCCTGAACGGCTGCTGTAGGGAATGCAATGTCCTGCCTGCCTCCATCTCTGGGAATCAAAACCTCTGATTCCTTTGGGATGATCTCCCAGAGCCTTGGCATTGAGCATGAATTAAGTCTTAATAGGTGTGGCCTTTTGTACGATGGGGTGTCCCATTTATCCTCAGACAGGGGAGGGACTCGTGGGAGCTATGAAAACAATCCTTCATCCACCAGGCATCTGTTCTCTCTTTTGAGTCTTGGTTAAAAACATGTTTTCATTGTATCCGCCATCCTGACTGATCTTTTCTGCCTGCAGGAGGGGGCCTTCTGGACCTAGGTTTGGACCCAGGAATGACAAGATCAGGCAGTAAGTTGTTGTTCCTCAGTGTCACACAGATAATAATTTATTCTAGCACTGTGAGCCCCTGCTGCTGTTTTGCCAAAGTGTTTCTGTGTAGTTCTTAACAGGAACGTTCCTTGTGCCTGCTTTCTTCTAATTGTTATGTCCTACCCTACGTGACCACAGCTAAAGGAAATCTGAGATTTGATGCAAGGTGTCAAGAAATTGAGCCCTAACAAAGACAAAGGGATGAGATTCTATCACAGTAGCTAAGTGGAGGTTCTGCAGCCCTTGCTGGGCTCTGGTGGTGAGCTGTTCCATGCTTTGGTGAGGCTCTTTTTCTGGAGCCCTGAACTTTAGCCTTCACTAGCACAACTTTTTATTGGTTTGTGGCTTTTTTTTCCTCATCCTGTAATGTGCTCCTGAACGTTTCAGGAAAGCAATTGGGCAGGGACACACCAGCACTGTGTTTTTGGGCAGCAGCTGGTCCTCTGGCCTCTTCTCCAGATAAAAACCTGATAGAGGTGACCTGGAGATGAGCAGTGACTCAGTGGGGTCAGAGCAGCTGGAAAACAGGAAACTATTACAGCTGGAGGAGGATTAGGGCAAGAAGGAAAGAGTGAACACACTGGATCCTCCTCCCATCGAGTCATTTCCTGGAGGATGCTTGTTCAGGGCTCCAGTTTTCCCTGCCCTTTGCTATGAGGGATGTGGTTGTAATTAAAAGTGTGGGGGCACTCTCAGCCCCCTGCTTTGTGTTGCCCTGTTTCCTCTGGGGAGCCAGAACAGGGCTCTGTGTGGGGAGTGATGGCTGGGCTGCTCAGACTGGCTCTGAGCGTGGCTCTCCATGAGGGCTGTTTTCCATGGCAGGAAGATGCCGGTGCAGCTCTGGGATGACTCACAGCCAGTGTCAGCAGCAAGCAGTGCCTGTCTGTGCCCGCTCGCCACGGTACCCGCGGGGCCAAAGGGCACTCAGATACAACACAGGCAGGGGCAGCTCACTGTGCATTGAGTTTTCAGGGATCTGATCCTTGGAATAAGCCAGAGTGGATAAAGCCTTCCTTGTAGGGCACAGCCAGGCTGATTGGGAGTAAATGAGGTGGAGAGGGTATAATGTCTGTCCCTTCATCCTCCTCTGATGGAAAGGAATTGCAGTATCTTCTGCTTTCCCTGTGTGGTGGGGAAAAACAGGAGCTCTTCTCTTCCCACGGTCTTGGCCTGGGAGACAGGAGTGGGGGCTTGGGTAGAGGATGGCACAGCACCTGTGGAGGGGAAGGAAAATGAAAGAGGCATTCAGCCAGGAACTGGTGGGTCCAGAGTTGTGATGTGACTCGTGCCCAACGCCCCTGAGACTTGCCCACTGCCAGAGATTGCCTGGACAGTGGACCTGGCATGGAATATGTCTCTTGGGGTAGCAAGTGGCTACATCTATCCAGTATCTGGAGCATCTGTTAGAGAACAGTGTTTATTTTCTGCTCTCATCAGCGCTGATTGCTTTGTTTAATAAGCACTTGTGCCATGCACTCATCACTCCTTGTCGTGGAGCTCATTGTCAAGTTTCTGATCTTGTGCCGATGAATCGATGCCTGGTCTCTCAGTGAACCAGTTTATTCTGATTTCAACAATGACAGGGTTGGGCTGCTGCTGAAAACCTGTAAGCAAAAGACATTTTAAGGAGGAATTGAGCATTTGGAGAGCTGAGGCACAGCTGGGCAAAGCTAGAGAGCTGTACAGGGCTGGAGGAACGAGGTGTGTAGACAGGCGTAAAAGGAAACTGGATGGAGGACTGGGGGGAGGAAAAAGTGATGGGAGCAAAGGTGTGGAACGTGTTGAATGTGAGGGTCAAGGCTGGAAGCTTTTCCTAGTTGTCACTGGGAGCAAAGGGGCTTGAGTGAGGATGGAGTTTGGTGGCAGAGACCCTCAAGGCTGGCTCAGCTGTGGGGACACTGCAAACCTCGGAGGGGAAGGAGGTGAACTGCAGTCGGCAGCAGTGGCAGGAGGAAGTGTCAGTCCCCTCCACGCTGTGTTTCCTCCTGATGTGTGTCTGGAAGCTGCTTGGTTAGGGTGGACTCTCCTCTGGTAACTGAGAGGCCACATGGGGTCCCTTGGGCTCCCTCTGAGACCTCCCATTCCCAGTGTGGGCTGGAACTGAAAGGCAGCTTTTACAGGCTTTTATCCTTTCCCCCAGAGTTACCAGAACAGGTAAGGGAAAGCTGAACTCCTTTCTCTGCCTTTCCTGAAGGTGTGTGTGACAGCTGTTAGTGCCATCTCAGGGGAAGGTGGGGTGTTCATCTTCCACCTGCATTTCTCTTATTTAGATCAATAGCCTCTAATCACAGGCCATCTTTTCAAAAGCACCGCTAAAATCACCCCCTTTTTCGCACTGCTTGGCTTGTTTCATTGCTGCTGTTTGTGCCCTCTGGAGACTGTGCTGTTGGATTCAGGTTCCTGCTGGTGCTGAGGCTCAGCACACTGCTGGGGTATCCCAGGAGCCGGGTCTTGGTCCCTGTGATTCCCTGGTTGCTGTGCTGGGGGTGCCCAGCATCCCTGGCCTCAGAGCTCGGATTTGTTGGCTCTGTCTTTCTGTAGGCCCTGAGGAAGGGGAGAGTTTGAGGAATGGTTTGAAGGCAAGAGCTGACAGCAGCTTCCCAGGGCCTGGCTGTTCATGGCAGCTGGCTGGTTGTGCAGTGGGGCCCAGCCACAGCGCAGCCTTTAGTTTAGAGGTGATACCAAGACCATGTTTACAGG